ACCTGCCCCACGAAGCTCACCTGCCCCACGAAGCTCACCTGCCCCACGAAGCTCACCTGCCCCACGAAGCTCACCTGCCCCACGAAGCTCACCTGCCCCACGAAGCTCACCTGCCCCACGAAGCTCACCTGCCCCACGAAGCTCACCTGCCCCACGAAGCTCACCTGCCCCACGAAGCTCACCTGCCCCACGAAGCTCACCTGCCCCACGAAGCTCACCTGCCCCACGAAGCTCACCTGCCCCACGAAGCTCACCTGCCCCACGAAGCTCACCTCAGGAGCACTTCAGTCGCCAGCACCAGGCTGTGCCTAGAGCCCCTCTAAGAAGGAGGATCTGGAAGGGCCTGAAGACAAGAGTCACAAAAAGTTTGACGAATTTGTGCTGCTGTTGCTTGCCTGCCCAGGCGAGGAAGCACATAGGAAAAAACAAAGTTGTAGACTGGGATGAGGACCAGGGAGACAGTGGCAAAAACAGGTAGGTGGAGTGGCTGCAATGCACTTCTGCGTTTATGCTAATGTCCTTTTCTTTAAAAGAAAAACACTTCTGTGTGTGTTTGTTTGATTGTTTGGTGTGTGTGGGGTGTGTGTGTGTGTGTGTGTGTGTGTGTGTGTGTGTGTGTGTGGGGGTCAGAGGACAATATGCAGGAGTCAAGTCTCTTCCTACCATGCGGGTTCTAAGGAAAGAACTGTGGTCTTCAGCCTTGGCAACAAGCATCTTTATTCACTGCACTGCCTTAGTGGCCCAAATGATGTCTTTTTCAAAGTAACAAATAATAAATATATACACTTGTGAGGTAAGTAACAATATATCATCGCCCTAAAAGCAAATCCCATAGTATTCATCCTTCTTCCTGAATCCTGAGGAACTTGAACTAGATGTAGGGAGCAGAGGATGGTGATCTGAGGACGAGGGAAGATGGGGGAAAAGGGCTGCTGGGAGTCAGCAGAGGATCACTGAGGAAGAATCAGCTTGACGAACGATCCTAACACAGGGTCAGCAGAATCAGGGATAAGCGAGTCTCACCTATTTCCACTAAAAGACTCACTTTATCCTGTCTGTTTCCAAGTGATGTTGGAGCCACTAAGCTCCCTGGATGCTGAATCCAGACAGGAGAACAGCCGGGAATGGACGTCTGCATCCCCAGAGGAAAGAAGGCAAGTGCCTAAGTGGACAGCCCAAGAAGAGCACCATCTGCTGACCCTGAGAGCACGCAGCACCTTGCACTGACTCCTTTGTTGGACACAGGTTGAGAGTGGTGGACAGGACACTGGTTAGGGCTTGCCATCTGTAACAGGTCAAGTTACAGTGGTCTGTATCTCAAATACTGCAGTGTCTTGTCTTTGTTTCTTTCCTACAGACCTCCAGAGACTGTTTATGTGTTAGCACTCCAGCTATGGTCATGGTAACACTCTGCTTAGAGTAGCTCTGATATAAAGATGGCACTCTTCTACCTTTGTCCTGAATCTCTGTCTTCCAGCCACTGATTTACATGTTTGTTCTTAAAATAGAGCTTTTTGTTACCTCTACTGAGGTATTATTGATACAATTTCACACAGTTGTATCAGTACATTATAAGTTTTTTAAAATGTATGTGTATGCCACGAGTGTGCCAGTGTCTCTGGAGCCCAAAAGAGGGCAAACCATGCATCATGGGTGCTAGGAACTGAACTAGGTCCTCCAGAAGAGCAAGAAGTGCTCTTACTGGTGAGATGTCTCTCCAGCCCTCATTTAATAGGTTTTGATATGTATGCTAAGCATATGTTTAATTGCCATAATCAAGAGTTAACAAATCTACCACCCACAATGTTATATTCCCCTGAGAGATTGCAAAATTTTCATTTTTTCAAAGTATTTGCCCCAACTTCTATTCCCATCAGGGGCATATGGACGTTTCACCTCCTCCTTACCCTCACAAGACAGTACTGTCATTTTTAAAATTTCTGCTCTTCTGATGGGGTATGTTGTACACATTCATGTAGTTTTAATGTGCATTACACCAATCACTAACAATGTTGAGCATCTTTTATGTGCTTATTTTCTATTTGCATAACTTCTTTAGCTAACTGCTTATATCCTTTGCCATTCCGAAAATTATGTTTCTTGTTTGATGGGTTTTCAGAGTTTATGTTCTTGACACCATTCCATTATCAGCTACACTGAGAAATCTTTGTGTAGATGTTTTTTAATTTTAGGTCTTACATTTCAAGCCAAGACCCATTTGATTTCATGTTCATATGTGCTGCACAGAGTGGATCCAAGCTCATTTTGTGAATGTGGGTTTTCTTTAATTTTTATTATGTATTTATTTTTATTTTATGGGTATGAGTGCTTTCCTTGCGTATAAGTGCACCTTTGTCATGCGATGCCTGTAGAGACCAGAAGAGGACATTGAATTTTCTGAAACTGGAGTTACTGTCATGAGGGAGCTGCAAACTGAGCCTGAGTCTTATACAAGAGCAGCCAGAGCTCTTAACCACTGAGCCATCTCTCCAGCCATCTGTGAATGTGGATTTTTATTTGTTCTTGCCCACATGTTGAGGAGACAATCATTTATTCAATGTACTGACTTTGTGACTTAGTCAAAAATCCCTTGATTATTTGTGAATTAGTCCTATTTATATAGTTTGTCTTGTGTGACTTGGAATTTTAGGGTATGTTTATTATATTTAATGATGTGATTTATTATGGAATTTCATACATGTATATAAAATATTTTCTCATATTCAAAAAAAAGTACATGAAGACAGTATTTTCTCTGAAGTGAAGAAGGGCCCACACAGAAGCTAGACAGTGCTTCTAAGGAGATTCTCCCACAGGCCTCCGTCCCTTACACTGCCTGTCTCTGAAGAGTGTGAGAGGTCTTCTCCAAACAAACTCAAGCTAAATGCTTTTGAAATGCTTACGTCCTCAGCACCACTAAGAATTCAAGAACGGGGCCATGCCTCCCTGCCATGATGGACTGTAATTCCCCTGGAACTGTAAACTCTAAATAAACTCTTCCTTCTGTAAGTTGCTTTGGTCAGTGTTTCTGTCACAGCAACAGAAAAGTGACTACTACAGGGGTGGTCTTCAAATGAGCAAACAGACCTCCTGGAGCCTTTAGGTCAAAGAAGCCTCTCAGATGGTCTGGGATCCTGGGAGTCTTCCATTTGTCCTCTTCACAGTACCCTGTGACTAGTACCCTGTTGACTAGCTGAGGTCTACAGGAACCTGGCCTCACTCTAATTTGAAAGAAATCCTTTGAAAGTTTTACTTCTCACAAGACCCATGCAAACTCAAGCAGGCAAAAACGTGGCATAGAACTGTGGAAATGGGCAGCAGGCCTCAACCTTGGATGAAGAACTGTTGGGCAACTGATTACTGCTAAGTGAGGAAAAGCTGATCTTCTTTAAGGGGGGGACTCTAGATAGGCTGAGGTCTTACTAGACCTCAGAGGATGAGCTTGCACTGAGGGACCATCAGGGGACATGAAGTTGACTTGATAGGCCTTAACATAAATGACGGAATACATGAAATCCAGTGGGGAGGGCCATGGGAAGGCACCCGATGAGGAAGGTGATATAAAAATGATTAAGATGCTGTGTATGAGATATACAAAAATTCAATAAAAATTATAGAAAAGTAATTCTACTTCTGCCCCCCCTTCTCTTCTGCCCTGATTTGTTCTCCTCTTTCCTTGTAGCACAGTACAGCTAAGTAGAACCTAGAACCTGGCTTGTGCTAAACAAGTTAAAGACTGTGAGAAGGTTGTAAAAGGAGGCCTGTAGAGAATAGATTGAGTTTCTAAGTGTTAAGCAAATATGCTTTGAAAAATAGACATTAGCCAGAATATGAGTAGTAAAGACCTCTGCTGACTAAATGTTACTAGGGTTACCCCAGACCTGAAATTTTCCTTAATTAAAGTAAAACAAAGGAAACAGCATATATAGTTAGTAATGATTAATATATATCA